TGAAAACATTGTGGCTTGGGTTATATGTACTTTAACACTTTAAAGAAGTTTTTGACAGCAGATTTGTTATTATTGTTGTTAGGTGTCCTCTAGTCGGTTCTGACTCATAGCGACCCTATGCCGGCTCCTGCGCCATCTTCATAATTATTGCTAAGCTTGATTGAGTCCATTGCTGCGGCCACTGTGCCATTCCATCTCACTGGGGAGTTTTCACAGATCGGGAGTCCAGAAGTCTGAATTCAGGGCCTTGGCAGGAATCTAGGGGAAGTTTCTTTCCAAGTTCTGAGCTTTTCTTGCTATTCATTGGCTTGTAGACTGGCTCTCATATGCTGTCCTCCCCTTTTGTTTGTTTCTTTGTCATGTCGTTTTTTATAAAATACTACTCAGAAGGGATTCAGATTAGAACCCACTCTACTTCAACATATCGAGGACTTGATTCAATTCATGACAGATGGATTCTTTGCCAGTTAGTAAAATCTGTTCTCTCTTCCTCTCGCTGATAAATTTTGCTTCATTAGCAATTAGGAATTCTAAGACCCGAACTACCAAAACTTTGCTGTAGCATCTGAAACAAACACATTAACCTCTTTGAGCTGTTTTCTTTATGTTAAAATGAAGAGTCAATTTCTGTGAGCCTTAATTCGTTCTCTGAGATTTTAGGATAGTATTTGATTGTTTCTGGAAGTAGTATGGAATATTTGGTAACCATAGTTGTTAGTATATGATATTTAAAAAAAAAAAAAAATCAGGTGATGAGCATGTATTGGCAATTGCCATGTAACAGCATTAATATACACTATAATAATACATATTACATTCAGTGTCTCATATTAAAAAAACAAACACAAAAAACAAGATCACAAAACCTGTTGATTCTAACTCAAGGTGACCCCATGTTTTATAGGTTATCATTGTTCCATAGGGCTTCCTTGGCTGGAAATTCATGATTGACTTGCCTCAGATCTTAAATCGTCATATGAAGTCATGATATAGCTTTAAGATGTAAAAAGCAAAAAATGTCTGTGTTGGAGGGATTTAATCTTTACAGAAGCAGAGCTCCAGGCTTCTATTCCTTCGTGCCCCTGGGTGGACTCAAATTATCAACCTTTAGATTAATAGTTGAGTAGAAATCACTGCACTACTCACAGCTCTTAGTTTCTCATATTATACTCACAAATTTCCTATAAATGCTACTATTTTTCAAACTTAGAAGATGCAAAAACTAAAGCTAGAAAAGGAGAAAAGCAAAGATAAAAATCTGTAAGTTTTAGACTACATAGACCACAAACACAGTTCCTTTTCACTCTCAAGTGTTAATTTCAAATGATCCCTAATGATAACCAAAACATAGCCATTTATTCTAAAGAAGCAAATAAAGCCTGCAGTTGAATATAATACCCCTGTAGTTGAATATACTATTACTGGAATCATCATAGTGTTCTTTATTCCCTCTTCAATGTTTCAAATAGACCTCAGCAGAATGAATGGGCTGAAAGGGATCACGCATGCACAATCAGAGGGTGAAATACAATAAAGAAAGTAAGTGCTCAATACCGGCTAGTTACTATTATTACCATGAATTATAAGCATCAGTTTGGCAAAAGATCAGCTTAATGGACTGCAGATCACAAAAGTGACTCTTATCCTACCATTTGAAAACCTCCTGTCTAAATGACTAAGAAAATATCTGCCGAAAAGGCCTATATTGTATCTAAAGAGGATTTTTATTGTGCTTTAATTGTCTTCAGAGAGATTTAAAAAATATTATCTGTTGTTGTTGTGAGGTGCTCAGCAATCCTACGCACAACAGAAGGAAACGCTACCCGGTCCTGTGCCATGGGTGCAATTGTTGTTATGCTTGATCCCATTATTGCTGACACTGTGCCAATTCATTTTGTTGGAGAGTTTCCTTTATTTCACTGACCCTCCACTTTACCGAGCATGATGTCCTTCTCCAAGGACTGACCCCTCCTGATAACATTTGTCAGAATATGAGAGACGAAATCTCACCATCTAAGGAATGTTCTGGTTGTACTTCTTCCAACAGAGATTTGTTTGTTCTCCTGGCAGTCCATAGTACATTCAGTATTCTTCTGCAACACTACAACTCAAACGCATCAATTCTTCTGTGGTTTTCCTCACTCATTGTCCAACTTTCACATGCATATTAGGCTATTTAAAGTATCAGTATGGCTTGGATTAGGCGCACCTTAGTCCTCAAACTGGCAGCTTTGCTCATTAACACTTTAAAGAGGTCTTGTGCAATAGATTTGTCTAATGTAATATATTGTTTGATTTCTTGATTGATGCTTCCATGAGTGCTGATAATGGATCCAAGCAAAATGAAGTCTTTGACAACTTGATCTCTTATCCACTTATCATGATGTTATTTACTTGTCCAGTTGTGAGGATTTTTGCTTTCTTTATGTTAAGGGGCAACATACTGAAGGCTGTGGTCTTTGGTTTTCATTGGTAAATAGTTGGAGTTCTCTTTACTTTCAGCAAGTAAAGTTGTATCATCTGCATACAGCAGGTTGTTAATGAGTTTTCCTCCAATTCTGATGCCACAATCTTGATATAATCCATATTCTCAGATTATTTGCTCAACATACAGATTGAATAAGTATGGTGAAGAGTAAACACTGACGCACATCTTTCCTAATGTTAAACCATTCAGTATCCCCTTGCTCTATTTGAACTACTGCCTCTTGATCTATGTACAAGTTCCTCATGAGCACAATTAAGTGTTCTGGAATACCCGTTCTTTGCAATGTTCTCCATAGCTTGTCATGGTCCACACAATCAAAAGTCTTTATGTAGTCAATAAAGCATAAGCAAACATCTTTCTGGTATCCTGTGTTTTCAGCCAAGATCCATCTGACATTAGTAATGATATCCCTTGTTCCATATTATCTATGATCTCAATTTTAGCTAAAGAAATGAACTTTAGAGTTGACCTGTCTGCTGACTTTACTCACCAAGCTACAGGGGCTGACAGTGATAGTGTTGCTTTGGAGATTATATTATCTCAGGCTAAATTATACCAATGATCATGGAGGCAGCATAGGACTGGACTGTTATACATGAGGCTGCCATGAGTAGGAGTTGACTAGACTGTAACTAACAGCAACAATAACATCAGGGCTAAATTACCAGACTTACAAAATCTGGATATTCTCATTGGAATGTGTTTATAGGCTGAAGGATGGAAAAAGGTAGTGAAGACTTCATAGGTAAAAATATGTGAAAATTTATGATTGGCTCTCTTTAAATCTCAAATCTTCAAATGAAGTCATTATATAGCTTTAAAATGTGAAAAGCAAAATGTCTTGGAGGGATGCTTCAAATAAAGACTAAAGGTTTTGAGGTTCCAAAAGTGACAGGAAAGTGTTAAAAGGAAGTACACATGAACAATATAAGGAAATGGCTGGGTTTGGAATCCATGAGTAAGGTCAGACTTCTGCAAACCACAGGACACTGGGTGTAACTCAGAAGTGGAACAATTGATTCACAAAGTAAAGTAGTTTTCCAATCTGGAGACATTTCCTGTCTTAGATATTTGCATCTGTCTGAATGCCTAAGTGGCATTACTTCAAAGAGCTTGTGGGAGGTGAGAAGGGAATTGGCTGAATGTGTTTATTTTGTGCTATTTGTGGGGAGTGGGAAGTCAGTGGGCTCAGGAAATAAGAGCACATGGACCACCAGGAGATAATCATTTTGCTGTAAAGCCGATTCCAGTACACTCCTCAGAGTGAAGGAAATCCTGGGAGAGAAAAGCTTGGGGAAGGGGAGGAAGCAAGAACCTTTAAAGCTACTTAGGTGTGTAGGTAAGTCATAGGGAGCAACATGGGAAGGTTTCTTTATGGTTTTTTCATTAAAAATTAAAAAAAATACAGAGAATTACTGAATACCCTTTATTCACATACATTATTAAAAAAAGAGAACTTTTTACTGCATTTATTTGATCATCCTTTCTATCTATAAACACACACACAAACACACACATATATATATATGTTCATATGATCTGTTTCGGAACCATATGTCAATAGGTTGCATACATTATGTTCCTTTCCTCTTTAATACCTCAGAGTGTATTTCTTAAGAACAAAAACTTTCTTGAAAACAAAGGACATTTTTCAAATTCAGTCCATTACACATTGATATCATACTTTTTACCTAATCCACAGTCTATAGTCTTATTTTATCAAAAATGTTCTTTATAGCATCCCGTTCCCCAGCAGGAAAGGAGGATGAGGCTGGTCTCTACCAGGACAAAATCACATGCTCTTTCCTTTAGCTCTATTTAGGGTCTTTCTTAGTAGAGAGATCCCAGCAGGTGAGTTGTTTGGTTTCTTCTCTGAGCAGGGAGTATCCAGGCACTAAAATCTCTTTTAGTAGTAGAAAGAATCTGACATTACAAGATGTTGCTCTAGCAGGAAACAGAGATGTGAAGATGGGCATCTTTCCTCAGCCTCGGCTGAGAAGTGAAATTAGACAATGACAATTTTTCCTTTCCTTTTGCTCTTTTGTGAGGAGGGTGAGTAGTAAAAGTGAATTTAGGGTAGAAATAGAGAGACGGTCTCTTATGGCGATTCTAATCCTTTACTGAGAACAAACATCTCTACAAGAATTTCTCTTAAAGTGTGACACTGTCCTCGCTTGTTTTATAAACCATTCTCCTTGGTTATTTGAAACAAATTTCTGCTTAAAAGTTCACTGATGTTAATTTTCTTGGTTCTCCATATGTAGACCAATTTCAGAACTGCTTCCTCTGCTCTGTAGAATCTACATTTTATTGCACAGCAACAGGGGTTGTGTTATGGAGGGATGGGAGAAATAGGAAAAGAAGGAAAAAGAGTCTTTGTCATGAGGTGGATGTGAAGTAATGTGGAGAAGGGAAAGGACACCCCAGAAACTACACTGTGAGAATTCTGGGAGACTCGGGTCTCTATTGGAACCAATTTTCATCCCTGTCTCCTCTCTCTACTCTAGGAAAAATGAAACTGACGTTGGTGCAAATCTTTTTCATGATGCTGCTACTGCTGTTGGGCCTGGGGATGGGCCTGGGCCTGGGTCTTCGCATGGCTGCAGCAGTCTTAGAGGATAGCTATCAGCCACTGAATGAGTTTTGGGCCAGTGACTCCCAGGACAAAGCTGAAGCTGCAGAGGAGGGAATGGGTAGCCGAACTGCAGAAACTCTGGTGGTTAGCAACCAAGGAGTAGCACAACCTGCTTGGCAATTAGAAGACACCATCTTCAATGAAGATGAGGTTGAGAACCACAAGATGCTCAGGGTTGATGCTCTTTTTCAGAACAGCAAAGACTACCTTAGGAATAACCTGATCTCCAGGGATTGCAATGCCATGATGGCTCACAAGATGAAGACACACAACCAAACCTGCATAAACCAGTACACGTTCATCCATGAGGATGAAGAAACAGTCAAGGCTGTCTGTGACACTCCAGTCATTGCCTGTGAGCTCAAAGGGGGCAAATGTCACAAGAGTTCCTACCCCTTCCAATTGACACTCTGCAAGTTGTCCCAACCAGGTCAAATCACTCCTCACTGCAACTACCTAACTTTCATTCTTGAAAAGTTCATCATTATAACCTGTAATGACACCAAGTTCCACTTGTCCCCTGGACAGTAAAGCAACTCACCCTCTTCCTCCTTTTCATGTTCTTCTTTTCCCTTCCTAATCTTACTCTTCCTTCTCTTATATATTTTGCAGAAAAAGTCCCCAGGAAAGGGACTGGCCTACTCTTTATCACTCTTCCCTGAAAACGTAATTCTTCTTTGCTCTTGTTCCTATCATTAGAAGTGGGAAAATAGGGTCCTGGTGTCCAATCTCCCTAGGTCTCTATGTCTCCTGTCTCTAGCCCCTGGAAAGGTACAAGTGAAGAGCTCCTCTGGTCCCTGTTGTGGTCCTTGTCACAGTCTGGTCTGAGTTTGCTTTTGGATGTGAACTAGAAAAGTTTAATACTTGGTTTACCAATATTCTTTCCTGATGTCCTAACGGAGGCTCCAGACTCCAGCCTCTTGGACTCTGCCCACCTGCATGCTTCCACTGTAGATACAATTAAAGTGATTCTATCCCTGACTGCAACTGAAGAATCAGCCATGGGGATCAGCTTTCTCTTCCCAAGCTGCGAAATATACAGGGACCCTGGTTTGGGGTCTACTATTAAGGTGTTGTGGTGGTGCAGACAATGACAGACCTAGTGGACACTCCTACCTCTAGTAAAAGCACTCTCCTTTCAGACAAAGACTTCATTCACTACCCTAATGGAGGCCACAAGGTCATTCTTAAGATAGTCTGTAGTATGCTGGTCTTCTCTTGTTTCTCCTAAGTTCCACTGGATCCAGGTACTGACTGTTGTCCCTTCTTCAAGGATGGTGTAAGTGTTTGTTGTTGTTACTGCTTATAGTTGTCAGCTTGCCCATCCTTATCCCTCACCATTTCGGTGTTGTCTATGACACTGTACTGAAGGATCATCTCTGGGCCCCTGGTCTGAGACCTAGTCTTAGTTTTACATTATTATATAATCAGTCTTTATTTTCTCTCCCTTCATAACCTTTCCTTATATATCCTTCTTTTTCTTCCCTCACATTCTTCCCTGATCCTTTCAACTCTGTGTACCCCTGACTCCTTTTTCCCCTAGCCTTTTTCTCTTTCCTCCCACCTTTTATTACATGTGCCTCTTTATTCTTTTGCTTCTTTCCCCCTTTTCTTTCCTCTGTTCTTCTTCTATTTGGATCCTCTTTTCTCTTTCACTGTATACTTTTAGAAACACATTCAGCCATTTAGTCACTTATTTTATGTCAGGTAGGTAGGTGCTGGTTCTATAGTAAAAAAATTTCTGGTGTAGGGGGTTGGAAGGAGGGTATGGAAAAGAGAGAGACATTTTTCTAAATTAGGTCAGGAAAGCAAAATAGTGCTCATTCAATATTTCTTTCCTTTTGATGTTTGCCACGGCACTGAAATACAAGGAAACTGGTGAAAGGAAAATTGATGTAAGAAAGGGATTAAATTGATTCCCTAGGGATAAAGATATGGGGATGAATGAATAGAGAAGGCAAGAGAAGAACTTCAGCCTGTTTGTTCTGAATTCATGTCTGTCAAGAAATCATGCAGCTGGATGTGTGTGTGGGTCAGGATGGGAGAGTCTGAGGAACGGGCTAAAAGGATCCCTTGTACAATTTGCTTTTGAGAATTCCTCCCTCTACAGTTTTTCTCTACTTGTATCCTCCTAGACAGTGACAGACTCAAGAGTTAGGGACAACCCCCTCCACACACAGAGTAGACAGCGATGGGCAACTTGGACATTGGCTACCCAAAATGGGGCCGGGGGGCTACAAAGGCAAGAAGTGACTGGCTTACAAGTTTTCAAGAGGGAATTTAGATACAGAGGGCCTGGAGGAAGGTGGAATCTCCAGTGAGTAGTATTCAATCTGACTAGGCGGGGCTGATGCAATGAAATGCAGACGGGTCTCTTGTGATACAATAGTGAATAATTGTTATCAGGACTGATTGTGAGGGTCGGAAATGTAAAGGTAGACATTTTATAGCAAAACGAGGGGAGTGATTAACTTTTCAGTATAGGAGCGGAGGTCCCTAGGACCATCAAGGGAGAAGAGCAGAGAGCCGGACCCTACCTAGAGAAGCAGTGATGCCTGTCATGGAGCCAGAGATGATGACGTGGAGCGATGGAGCAGCTGGAGACTTTAGATCCAGAGAGGGAGAGCGACTGTTGCTGAAGCCCTGGGGGGTATAGGGGAAGGATTGCATGGAGGGGATTGTAACCATCTCAATGAGACAATATACGATAGAACGAATGTAAAACTAATGTTCTCCCATGTAAACTATCACATAATTCACAATAAAAAAAAAAAAAAAAAAAAAAAAAAAAAAAGAGTTAGGGACATATATAAATGAGAAAAAGGAGGAAAGAAATATCTTGTTTCACTATGACCTGACTTCTCCATTCCTGCAGGCCACTAAACACTTAAGTGTACTGCCTCCAGTAGCCTCCAGAGTCCCATGGCTCAACATTTCTCTTTTCACTTCCAACTGTCTTCTCCTGGTTGGCCTGGAGGTATGTCCGCGTCTGTGGCCTGCTCTGATATTTTAGAGTTGGGTGGAGGTTTGAGGAGAGCTCAGGACTTTCACAGGTATGATTTCTACTCTTCCAGAAGGGAAATTCCTCTCTGATCATTTAAAAGGAGTAAAGAGCAAACAGAAGACAGATCATGTAAAACAATGGAGGAAAGGAACCGTGGGGTGGGCAGAGAGGAAAGAAGAGTGGGAGCCAAAGAAAATCAGCCAGGTTAAGGATTTATTTAGCAGGTAAACCAACAGGAGTTGTTGTTGTTTACTGCCATCAAGTTGGTTCTGACCTGTAATGACCCTATTACAACAGAAGGAAACACTGCTGGGTCCTACACCATCCTCCCAATTACTAGTACACTTGGGTCCATTGTTGTTTCCACTGTGCCAATCTATCTCGTTGGGAGTCTCTCTTTTTTTCTCTGACCCTCCCACTTCACCAAGCATGATGTCCTCCATGGACTGGTCCTTTCTGATACTATGTCCTAAGTATGAAAGATGAATTATGGCCATCTTGGCTTCTAAGGAGCATTCTGGGTGTACTTCTTCCAACACAGATTTGTTTGTTCTTCTAGTGGTCCATTGTATCTTTAGTATTCTTCTCCAACAAAAACCAAAGGATCCATTGTATGGAGTGAACTAACTGTTGTTTTTGTTAGGTGCCTTTGAGTTGGTACCAACTCATAG